TTTAAATTTGAAAGTGAATTCCAAATCTTCATATAGTAATTTTTAAAAGCACACGAAATCCAATAAAGAGTTTCTAAGGGAAATATTATCTAATGAAAAATATGCAAGAGTGGAATAGAAACAAGAAATTATCTTTACAGTAGATGTTTTATAGAAATTCTAGCTTCAGCGTTAATTATGAATGCGGTGCGATTCCTTGACAGGATAGTCGAGAAATAGAATAATAAGCCCTAAATGCTGGCGCGGATAAAACTAAACACTTATAGACTGTGAGCAAAGGATCCTTTGAATAAAATATTAAATAATGAATTTTCACGTGGCTTGCTTAATTTAAAACAAGACTTCTTACACAATAACTGTCTAAAAGTTGGAAAGGAGGTTAAAATTTTTTTCTTTGTAGGTGGTAAACGGATATTTGCAGCTTTGAAGACTGCCATTATCGGAATGCCATGTATTGTTTAAATGGTCATTAGACTGTAAAGCAAACAATAGGTTTGGCAAACTTAATAGTTTCTTGAGAGATGTTTTATTGGGAGCGAAAATCATCAGAGACTTCCCATGGCGAACAATATCAGATAAAATATCTTTTTCTTGCGGCGCTGTAGAAAACTCGCTTTTCTTTACTCACCTTTTCTTGGGCGCTGTAAAAAGATATCTGAGATTAACTTATTCTCAAGTGAGGCATGGTTGCATCAGAAGATGGCTTTTAATTAATAATTAGGTCAGGGATTAGATAAGAAAGATTTTATCGAAAAAGGAGGTGTTTTTAGATCAGAATTTGACAATATGAAGAAAAAAAAGGAAAAAAGAATAGGAAAAATTTCCTGGTAATAACTAATAGAAGGGTGGAAAAAGAAGGGCAGAAATCAGTTCTAGAGCGCGTGTGAAATCAAAGAGGTATTATTGCAGAAATATCGGCCTCGTGGAAGATGATCAGATGTATTGAATGATTTAGAGTATGATGAAGGAGAAGGACGTGAATGATAAATTCCTGAGCAGGAAATGTGGTATCTTGTCACGATGTGTGTAACGCGAAAAAAATACCGAATTTATGACGCGAAAAGTGATAATTAACAGAACCTCTCTTTATATTGATGCATGTGAAATATATGCGTTTTCTACTGAAAGAACAATGCATGTTTGCTCATGGACCCATAAAATTAAAATAAATAAAATAAAAATTATTAATGTAATTATTTGTCTCCACTTTCTTCCTCTTGAAAATTTTCTGTGGATGCACATGTTCAGGACACTTTATGAAATATGTAACTTCTTTAATGAGTGAAGGAAATAAAAAGATGCGTGAGCATCCTAACTTCCTGATTTAGCAGCTTAGAACATCGGTTTCCTGCTCCTGCTCCGATTGATGATGTGCGATGATCGGAGAGTTATGTTCCCGTTTACAGAGTATTATAAAGACTCTATTTCGGACTGATACTTAACTAACGACCAAAATATTGGCTTCCGATGAAGTAAAGGGATCTGGGCGGTTATTCCTGTCTACAAAGTGTAATAGAGACTCTTCTGAACTGATATTTAACGCGATGAAGAGGAAGCCTCTTCTCTACGTTAAGTAATGAACAGTGTTAAGGATTTAAGTGAATGTGTTTTAAGGACAGTTTACATAAAGGTGTTAAACACAGGTTTATTTGAAGTCTGACTCTCAGAAGGTTATCGCTTAACATTGCGTTATTTTTTCATGAATTTTAGTTTTTAATATTTTTATTTCTAGAAATGGGTCGAACTCTGAAACCAGCTCGTGTAAATATTCTTCAACTTCTCCTTGCATGTAGCGATGGTTATTAAGTGTTACTAAATGTATAATGTAAATAAAACTAATGTTAATATGCAATTATTTATTAAGGAGTTTAGTTCTGAAATTAGGAATAAGTCTTTATTTGCATATTTATTGTGACTTTAATTTACTAGTGCGGCATTTATATAAAAAAATGAATGCTTATGTAGCTAGGATTACGCGTTTATCTGCCTACGACAGTAGAATTAAAGAATTTGAAATTATGTTTCCTAAGTGAACCTATGTAAAAGGTTTTGCAGTTGTACAGGTATTTGACTGACAAAAGGTTCATTTGTAAGAAAGATTAAGATCTGTATTTCATCAGATTTGGTACTTGATTAGATCATTCTCTATACAACATAACGATGCTGCAAAAAGATATGCAGACAATATCTTGAATATTAAGTTGCTTTTGTTATATGATTTCCTTTTAGCCCTGTATATAAATCTTTATCTGTCACACAGGTTTGTATAATGTGTAAATTGTAAGCTTTCTAGTTACTGAAAATAATATTTCATAAAGTGTCCTGAACATGTGCATCCACAGAAAATTTTCAAGAGGAAGAAAGTGGAGACAAATAATTACACTAATAATTTTTATTTTATTTATTTTAATTTTATGGGTCCATGAGCAAACATGCATTGTTCTTTCAATAGAAAACGTATATATTTCACATGCATCAATATAAAAACACATTTTTTGTTCGATTGCAACAGGATTCTGTGCCGCATCCGCCTCCCTCTGCGCGAACTTTCATAGTCTTGGATTCTGCTTCCCAAAATGTGGTAACACCCTACTTTTACCAAGATATTTTATATTTTGAATCTTTTTAGGAAAAAATATAACTCTAGCAATTATATACATATTCGTGATAAAATATATGTTATAATATCCTGAAATGTAAAATTGAGGGACATCAGTATTGTCTTGAAACGTAAAAATGAGAACATAGTATAATTCCTGTCCTCTAAATCTCAAATAAAATCTCTCAGACCCAAATTCTTATATTCAGCCACAGTCATTAAATTGCAAATACCTTATTCCGCAATGTATTCACCCCTCGCCTTACATTTTTAGCTCCGGGTTCTGAAAATTTTAAAAATATTCGCGTAATTTTTCTTTTCTGAAATGTATTCAGGGAAGAAGCTTCCTTAAATTTTAAAATGGATTCGTCCGTGTAGCAATGGTTTTCGTCTTGCTAACAAAGACAAACTTTCGGGAACTACCTGCGTCGAACTTTTCTAACTATTGACCTTTATGGCAGTCTAATATAAGAGCCGACCAATTACAGCGAAGCAAACACGAATTGACAGTGTACGATTTCGCTGAATCAACTGCACATTCAGCTTTTCTAATTATTTATGGATGATTTAAGACCTAGAAACTTTAGAAAAACCATTTAAATAACCCACCTGCTTTGCAGAGCAGAATTATTTGCTCCCTCAAGCATTTCCCCCACACATATATTTCTCCCCTTATCGCATGTCAATTCAGCATACGCATAATATTGTTCGAAAACCTGCGAAAAATCATCGAATGAACGACTACAAAAGATAACTGTATCGCACATATATTTTTTAGGTTTTTTTCTTAATGCAAAGGATGTGCGTTATACGGCGAATATATCTGAAAATTAAAAAACGTAGTTTGACATTTACAGGTACGCGCTATACGCCAGAATATACGGTAATGAAATTTCAGCTATTCATGTCCCAATAGAAAGAAGCATCATTTAAACAGCTTTTGATCATCTCCTTATTGGTCTAATTTCCTTTAATTTTTCTTCAGTGGCTAGGCAAAAAATTACAAAGAACTAAAATCTTATAAACAGAGCAATAAAACTATGAATAAAAAGACTGAAGTCATTGCCTAAGGAGCGTCCTTGCCTCCCAGTATCTCGACTCTTCTGTTAGACCACGAAGAGCCCCACATCGAAATTTCCTTTAAAATATCAGGAAGTTTGGGTGGAATACTATACAAATGAAATGACGAATGTTTTATTTCACTATATAGTTATTTCACTATATACTATACAATTATTGCCAATCTTTTTACTCTCTTCACAACAAGGTGGTTATTTTTCTTAGACTATTGAATCTAAATTACACAGATTAGTTCTTCAAAATCAGTACTGTGGGCAAGAAGTTGGATAGTTTTCAGAAAATCAGAATGACTTACGATACATTTTGAAGATTTGAAGTACTGAGCCTATCTTTTATGAAATGATGCTGATGTAGTTTCTTTATTCTTGTATAAAGGTGAAAAATTCTTTAAATCATAAAACTGTCATAAGAATTCATGCACTTACTTCTTTTATTTTACGATGCAGGGTTTAATTTCTGTAGTGAGAAATTTTCAGTGATTCATCCATTCGAAATGAAAAGCTCAATGACTCAGTTTACATTTCCAGATATTGTGAGCAACAGTTATGCAAATTATTTCATCAGAATCATTGCACAACGCCATCATTTCTCAGGTGCTTGTTCTCCTCTTCCAAAGCATCAAACTTTCTCTGTCTTGCAATACAATCTTTAGCTTTCGTTATTTGGAAACCAGACATTAAAAGAATAATTTCAAAATTAAAATAAACATGTCCAACTTCTGGGCAGTTTGTGTTATCTCAAAACCTCCTTCTGAAAGTTAATCTAGTCCTTGAAAATGATGACGTATGGTAACCCTAGACAAAATGCAATAAATTAAATCCAGACAAAATAAGAACTGTTTTCCTTCTTTTAAAACATAACATTTTCAAATTGTTTCAAATTATTTTCTTAATATTATTCATGGATAAGTCTTCCTTCATAAATAAAGAAGACAACGATAAAAGAATTAATAATACTGAAAGAAACAAACTCACAGTTTCGAATTATCCCGAAGTAGAGCGTTAAGATTTTATTGCAAGATTAATGATGAACTCGCACAAATAACAGAATTAAGTAATACAAATGTTACTTAAAACTTAAACCTCGCCTTTTCTTTCTTCTATTTTATAAGCGCATTCTGGCACATCGTATTTTTATTCCTTTTTAAATGTCAGAGTTTGGGCGAAGTCGGTGAATTTTAGGTGGTGTGCTCTCCTTGTCAAAAAGACAAAATATCACCTAAATTAATAGACTAAAAATGAGATTTCTGCCTATAATGTGCTGAAACTTTTCTTTCATAATGTTATTTATATTTCATTAATTAGAATATTTTTAAACATAGCTATGAAAATCCATGTAAGTGAAGCCTGTAAGAAATTACTTGACAAACTTGGTGGCTATAATTTACAAGAAAGAGGACTGATCCCAATTAAGGTAATGTAAAATGAAAACATTCATTAGTATTCTTCGTTATTTTAGCAATGTTCTTTGTATTTATTTTGTAAAATTTCTAAGAAATTTCATTTTTATCATAATTTTTTCCCAGTTTAATCGTGCACTTTTAAGAATGTCATTTAATGTTTACCTCAGCGTTTTCTGATCTGCTGTTTTAAAATACTAAAGGTATTTATCATCGTATGTTTTCGTACCACAAATATTCTTCATTGCGAAATACCATATCAATCAAAAAGAAAGTCTATATTGCATCATTATTATAATGATTTTCAAAGTCCTTTTAGTTCCGTAACGGTTGGCTCTTCCAGGTTGATTCGGGTTCCTTATAAACTACTGTGGTAAATTAAATCAAAAACCAGTTCATTCATTCGTAATTTTTATTGATGTAGTTTATACGTGCAATATTGTAAATATCTGCTCTATTTTATATGATGAATGTTTGAAATTTATGATATGTTTTCTTCAGAATAGCTGATGTATTTTTGTTAGAAGCATTTAATTTTATGGCCAGAAAAATTGCAAGATCACATAGTCTTTCGCCTTTTCCTAAAAGAAATTTTAAAACATATAATAAATAGTAAATTAGCATAATCAATATGACATTCATTAGCTGATTAAAAAACATTTAGAAGGATTGCATGAGTCTGTGTCATTAAAACCAAATATTGCTTGATTTGTTTCCCTTGTGCTAAGTTAATTATCTGAAATCTGCTTCAAATGAAAACTCACATAGATTGTGCAGCTTCAGTTAAGTAAATTTTTATATAACAGACATTAAAGCATAGTATTGAAGCATGAAAACAAATAGATAATACAGTAGGCTCGCGTTAATATGAAACTCTTGTTTATGTATTAAACACATTTACAAACTTTCTATCGCATTGTTACTGAGAGGTTTGGCCCTTTTTATGCCATTCACACTTCGAATTTCTATTTTAACGCACACTTTTTGTGGTCCATCCGTGTTCGCAAAATCGGAAGTCTACTCTGTATTTACGCCATATCTTCATAAAATACTGGTGTAACCGGTGCAAAAGGCTAAATCGGCAATCGATTGTAGTCAAATTATATGATGCCTAAGATTAGATTAAACAGTATGTTAACGGTTACACTTGGTTTTTTAAGAATATTTATAAAAAGAGGTTCTCTTCGGTTTATCCCCAGCCTGAAGGACCGCTTCATAAGGATTTCCAGTTATGAGCGCTAGCAGTCTTATGCTAATCAGCCATCGTTCTCCAAAGCCGAAACTTTAATGAAGATACTTTGTCATAAATGTGCCAGTACTTTAATGCAGGTTAATTTTTATCCTGAAAAATACTACCTTTCATAAAAATGCCAGAAACTTACATCAAGGCGTCCTTATAGATATAGGATTTCTATTCGCCTTATTAATCAAAGCAAAAAAACTAAAATCATATTTGCATAAGGGATGTGACAGTTTTATGGATGCTTCTTTTTTCAAGTTAAAAAACCATCTTCGTAAAGATGCTATCACAGTGTTGCCAGGGTACCTTCCAGCAAACACTGATTGATCTGCATAAGGATGCCGGTCCTCTTAAGAATGCGTCCAAATCTGGTCAATGATTTTGAGATGTGGTAGCAGAAGTTTTGTTGTAACCTGCAAATAAAAAAGTTGCTATAATTTTATATATGTCGGTGAAAAGAGTTCTACTGTGAATAATTAAACTGTAGAACTATGCATAAGAGTATTCCTTAGTTAAATCGAAAAGAATTTAACGTACTTGCATCAAATGAAAACATCTTAATGAATATAGAAAATTTAGAACTATGACCTATGAATTGCTAATAAGTGTCATCACTTCATTTTGCGGGAATAAATTCCAGTTTTCTCTGACACTTGGTACTCCTCTGAAAATTCATCTGAAAAGTCCTAGACGTTTGGATTTCGAGTGTCTCTACCAAGCTGTAAAATGTTCTGAATAGTTAACGATATTAAAAGTACAGGAAATTTGTAATTAAGACATAAGCAACCTTTAAATGTCCTAAAAATGAACCTGCTACCCACTGTAAAACTGGTCAGTTAAAGGTCACTCGTGGATATTTTAACAAAAACTGGCCACTTGTAAAGTATCAAAAAATACATAATTTATTTTGTCACTTAGCCTTTGATATATTTGGCATAGTCATAATTAATTTTAAAATTGCAGAGGAAACCAGAAAATGTCTTGAGTATCTCTTTCTATCGCTTATAAACTACCTAAACATGAACCTCACCAAAAACTTCCGGTTGTTACTGAGAAAAGATTTGTATTCCATAGCAATAGAACAGGTAAGGAACCAAAGGACATAATCGTAGTATGTCAGCGTAAGAAAGATGCTGATTTATGCAAAACGGTTAATTGCTTTGGCTGATTCTAATCTTGTAAGTTTCTAGCATCATTGACATAAGTGTCTGCCATCTTATAGATAATATAAAATGATTTATGATGAATTTAATGATAATACAAAATTATTTATATTATCTCTAAGGTAGAGAGCAGCATAAAAGAACTTCGTCATAATACTTTGTTATTTTTTTTTTTCAATTTATTTTAAAATTTTATCCATGTTCTATTTTAAACTCAAAAATGTTTTGACACCAAATTATCCTCCAATAGTTTATAAAACTTTCTACATTATCGTAATTAACTTTCAGTCACTTAAAAATTTAGATTATATTTGTAAAGCGAATTTAACACATAAATTCAAAAAGAGATTGAAAATTCTACAGTAAGATAATTATTTATTTTGTATTTTGAGCCGCTGGTATAAAGTTAGCTTTTTCAAATATAAGTTAAACTGTTATAAAACTGAGTAAGAAAAATAAAATATACGTATAATTTTTTTTAATATTAAAAATTGTATTTCAGCCAGAAGATTTGTAATATTTTCCCATTAAACTATTTGACAGGTTATATAAATATAACAATTACTATATATTTGACAAATTACTATACATACAGTAACCTGTATTTATTTATAGAGATACTATAATATACAGGTAAATAGTAAAAATATATCTTCATAAATATTTGATTTTCTATAAAGGTAGATGACAACTGTGAATTTTTTTTACGTAAAAATTGTATGAGCCCTATAAACCATCTTTAAATAATTTAGGTATCTAAAAAGGTTTTAATACGACAAATTTCTTTACAGGGTAAAGGCGAAATGAGGACATACTGGCTTTTGGGGAAAGAGAACCAAACATCGGAGTATGGAGAAATTCCGACTTCTCCAACATTCCAACTTCCAACCTGGGAAGTAAATCCATTATCTAAGAACAGTAGTGAAGAATTTACTTCAGCATTGTCGTCATCAAATACAAATGACAGTTGCCTCAGCCTCATCCAAGAATGCAAAAAGAACGCAGAAAATGCAGTTTGGAGAGCGAACAATTACCGTTCAGCTCCAACCATCACTTTCAGTGATTATTACACTCCTGCAGACTGTGCCTTGTGATAATAGAAAGAATCAACGTATACTAAGCTGTTTTCAAATGATATATGGTATCTCTCGTATCAAAGTAAAACTGCTAACTTAAATTCAAAAATCTATCTACTTATCCACAAATTATTAATGAAGAAAGAAATATTAACATTTAGATTCGAAGTTTTAGCATTTTAGAGAATAAGTGTCAAGCTTAATTTCTCAACTCATGAGATCTTTAAACTCTCACTTATGGAAAAGTATTTTTACTTCCAAATGAACCATGAAATGATTGCAGAAATTCTTCAACGTCCAAAACTTTTGTTGTACGCTTGTAAATATATTATATTATTTTACAGGTATGTTACTTCCGATCTAAACCTTTTAGGGAACGATGTTGCACGATTCTTTTAGCTTCATGGATTGAATCATGGTTCATATACAGGATTCTTCTATCTCACCGACCGGAATCTATTAAATTTAAAAAAGAGCTCATATCCTGTGATAATTTTAATGGTATTACTAAGCTAAGAAAAGTTACGATACTATTAACACACTTAACGAATGTGAAAAATAAAATCGAGCTTCTCTCTTTAATCATTTATTTATGCCTGTTGGCGTCAAAATGTGCTAGAAACTAATATCTAAATGTCAAATGATCGTTTTGTAATTTATATCGTGATTGTTTCGTTATCTCTTGGTGCTGTAAAATGAAATCTTTTGTAATTGGTTTTTTATTGTTGTGGTTCATAGATAAGGTGGGCTTAATTTATTGACATTTTTGTAAAATAAAATTAAATTATTACAAATAACTATGTATAATTTCCTAGAACAAGGCTAAAAAAAACAAACATAATGTAGAGTTTAAAGAATAGCTCAAGGAACTTCACAGCTAATAAATTTCATTTCACTGATATAAATAATCAGTAAATGTTCATTTTCATTTTTTCAGGAGCTTCAACCGTTTACACAACTTTATTTAGAACTGCATTTATTTATTTTATATACTTTGTCACCGTATATTCAGAGGGAAAATATAACTTATATGAGGGAAAAAATATCCGCTGTATTTATTTATTCCTAAGCTGACTTTTGGCAACGTCCAGGAGAAGCGCGCTCATATAGGACCAGATTTACAAAACTGAAAGCCGGGGAAAAGCTTGTTAAACAGACCCTTTCTCTCTAAATTTTTTCAATACTGGAAATAGATATCACTGATACAAGTTATATTTCATATGAATTACATTTTACATAAAGTATTTCATAAAATAACCTTTATTCAACATCTTTCATCCAAAATTGGGTACTGTTCTGTTATCGGGACCAGATTCAGAAATGTAATGTATACACACATACATTCGTATGTACATGTATATCTGAACATATATATACATGCATACATATATATATACATGCGTACATGAACACATAATCCATACGTACATGCACATATACATACAGTTCTGAATACGGTCCCGAGAGCAAAAGTGTACCAAAAATTATTCAAACAAAAATGTGCAGTTCACTTCATTATACGTTTTATAATTATGAATATTTACGTTGAAATACGATACCCAAAACTTTTCGCAATCACAATACTTCCTTTCCTTGTATTTGTTTTTGAAATGTCAAACATTAACATTCCTGTTAATAGTACAATATTAACAACTATCAGTTTTCAGGTAAAAGAATAAAAACAAGACAGCCTGGGCGCCCAACACTAAGAAATTTCAAAAAAGGCAACTCGTCTACAAAATAACAATACCTGACTTTTTAAGGGCATTCTGTACATTACAGTTGTCTAGGACACTGGTTTCAAAATCGCGGTCCCCAAAGCAATTTTATGCGACTTGCGAATACATTTTAATTATATACTTGTTGCAATAGTACTTAAAAGTGTTAGAGACACAAAAATTTGAACTTAGCTATGTGACTATTACATGCTATGTGACTTACTATTGAAAGCAACATGATAGATTGAATAGGCTGGGGCTAGTCATTGTTACCGTATGCTTGTACGTCATACCATGCGATTAAAGTCATGTGAGATAATTTCACACATTTGTATAGTCAGTAAATTTAAGTAAGGTGGCCTTTCAGTATTCTGAAATTTAGAATTTTCAGGTTAATGTAAGTTATTTAGTGATTAATCTACGGCATTTACCTGAAATAAATGTCAATCATAAATAAATCTCAGTCATTTTTTTTTCTTTCTTTCTTTTTTTTTTTTTTTTCAATTGCTCGCACTAGCCATTAGGCGTTGGCTATTACTGAGTTCGAAAACGGTTGTCATGGAGGCACCTAATAAGTGGACCACCGTTGCCTCCTATGAAAGGACAGACAATTTACATCCATGCCTTCTTCGGGACTCGAACCCGGGCCCCTTTCGGTACTGCAGTCACTAACCACTTCCCCATCTGGACGTCATAAATTTCAGTCATAGTCAGCTTGAAATAAATGTCAATTTAATATTTAGCTGTGCATGCATTTGAATTACAAAGTATAAGCAATTGAAATTTCTTGCTGGTACAGCCTTTGGTCTTCAGATAGAAAATAAATACACACTGCTGGCCATTAAAATTGCAACACCATGAAGGAAAGCAAATACAAAAAAGATATTTAGTATACGAAAACAGTATGGCATTAAGATAAAATGATGAAATTTGTAAGCAGTCTGGGTATTTACAGAGGTGCGAAATTAGTAGAAACAGCTGCCACCTTTGGCATCTAAAACAGCCCTTACTTGGTTAGGCATGGAGTCTAACTAGGCTTGGATCACAGAAACCGGCAACTCATTCCATGCTACTTCAAATTTATGCCACACTTCATCAACCGTATTAGCTGGAGAATGATGAAGGGCCAGTCTCTCAGCAACCCATGACCGTATATTTTCAATGGGTGACAGATCTGGAGACCGTGCAGCCCACGGCAGAAATCAAATTTATTGTGTATCGAGGAAGATCAGAACACGACGTGCAACATGTGGTCTTGCATTATCTTGTTGGAAGATGGCGTTTAGCAGGCCTCGAAGATAGGACACATTACTGGAAGTAAGATGTCAGAAATGTACCGATCTGTATTCAGATTACCATCGATCCGAACTAGAGATGTGTGTGTCGTGCACCCAGTGGCTGCCCAAACCATTACACCACATTACACCAAGTGCAAGGTCCCTGTGCGACGTGCGGTCTCCTCGGAGCCTCCAGATAAGTCGGCAATCTTAGGAAAGTATGCGGGCAGCCAATGGCCTAGGAATGGCACTGCATGAAACTGTGTTGGTTCCAAATACACTACTAAAAAAACAGCGTGGTATGACGTATTTATGTGCTAGTACATCGTAAATCTGAAACCCCACAGTTTACAAATTTGTTGATGAGACAGTATCGTCTAAAACGTCAAGCAATGCTGCATTTAAAATATCTGCGTGCTCTTGGTAGTTAAAACCATCAAAAGTACCATAAAACATTAACTCGCACAGTAACCCTTTCGTTCCATAATCCACATAAAACATTTCCATTATAACATTGTTTCTCTTCGATTTTCACTCCAGCATACTTGAAGTTAGTATGAACGCTATAGTATAGATTTAATAGCGTTCAGAATTGACTATTATGCAAGTTTACAGTGCGGGCTGTAGTCCGCACTGTAAACTTGAACTTTTGAAAGTGAAACCGTGCAATGAACAGAAGGGAATGAAACCTTCCTTTTGACAGAAACATTTACTACAAAGCTTCTGCAGTACAAAGGTACTGCAGAATCACTGTTGACAGTTATTTCTTGAGGATGCAGTCACAGCCTGCTTTGTAATATTCCGTTATATTGGAAATAAAACTGACTGTAAGTTTCCTTTCCAGAGTGTAATCTCTAATCTTAACACCAATTACCAGGTCAGGATAATCTTTCCGGATTTTCCTTCTGTGAAAGTCAACATGAGAAACTAAATTTCGACCTCAAAAGCTGTGGCTCAAAGATACTCACTATTAAATCTGTGAAAAGAGGAAAACGTTTCTTCCAGAGAAAATCTGTTTGAAGAACTACTCATAGAAAAAACACGTTAGTAATAACAAAAAAAGAGAAATATATTAACGAAAAAATAGTAAAGTTTACATACAGTATTTTCTTTCTGAAATTTAATTTTAAGAAACTGTGAATTGTAAAAATAGCATATTTAGAGGGGGAAATGCTTTAAGGCTTTAATGTACTAGTTATGCATTTAAGCCTTCCCGTTAGAAAATGTACACAATGTGTAATTTACTCCTTTCGTTTTTCAATAGGTTAAAAAAAATGCATGGAATGTACTAAATATGGTAACCTGTACAGTTATTAAATGTGTATAGTTTCAGTTTAATTTAATGGCACGAAGCAACTATTGACGTTTAATTTTCCGCCATTTTGTTTTAAGTAAAGCTTTATTTTATTACAAGATAATTTTATGGAAGGGAGGGAAACGCTCTTCATCACTTAACCGCTTAACGTGAAACAATGAATTCTGTGATGAAAAGTGCCTGTTTCAGTGTCTTCTATCATCCCTTAAAGTTTGTTCCATTAACTTTGATACATGCTGTATATGGTCAGTTTAAGATTGTGTTATAATTTTTTCAATAATAACGCATGAAATAAAAAACATTCATATTTAAACCAAAAAAATTATAAGAAACATTACTATTTTATATTACCAAAAGAATTTAAAATGTGCATTAAAATCTAAGATCTACTTCGTTGACTTCATGCACAATTATGGAAGTAAAATTAAATAAATATTTCCATGAGTAATTAAATATTTGATCGATTCCCTTGTAAAAATTCGTCCACAGAATATCCAAAAAGCTCGAAATCTAGACGATATATTCGATATAGTCTACGGATATCCTCTTCAGGAACAGATGAAAAATAACGCAAAGTTAATGAATGCGAAATAGGATGGACATCACTCCACCAGTCGGGACTGGATTCGATGCCAACTTTCTGAAACGCATATGGGAAATCATGTTCAGCTGTATCCAGTTTTCCCACAAAATCGTAATCCACTAGACAAGGGTCACAACGACTCCAATAAGGAGCCCAGTGCTCGTCATAGTCTCTTTCCAGCGAATGCGTCAAATACCATACGAATTCTTGAAAAGTTATTTGGCTCAAGTTTGTGTCATTGGGCCTGAGTTTCTTCAAAATGGGATCCCAGTACCTGTCATAAAAGAACTGCACTTCGTGTCGGGGCGCTTCTGCTTTGCTTCTGAAAGCAGAAACAAGACGATCAAAGGGATGGCGGACGAAGATTATTTTGAAAAATCGATGAATTGTTGTTGATGGATAATACATGGGACTGATACGTCGCAAAGCTTGATTGGCCACAATGTGTATCGCAGAGTCATTGTCTGCGTCATGCAAAGGAATGCCTGAAATATTTAGAAAAAAACGTTTGACTAGCGTTGAAGCTACTTTAGGTATGAAGCAAAAGAAAAGTACTTTTTGCTCATCCACAATGATAGGACAGAGTTTGGTTTTACAAAAAGTTTCTTTGCCGAAACGTCGATTGGCAGCCACACGCCAAATACGCCGCATGGCAACGATTTCATCCTTCTCACATACGTCACGCACTCTCTGCACTCGACTTTCATATTCTGCTTCCCACAGACGATTAGCTTCTTCTTTAATCTGAAAATTGAAAAATGAATTAGTTTTAATTACCATTGACGAAAAAGCTTTAGTGATCATAAAAGTGTATAAAAAACACAGAAACAATAAACTGCTGTTCAGCAACTGTTAAAGCGCGAAACAAGAGTAATTCAAGAGCTAATACATTTTAATTACTGAAAATTTCAACATTTTTAATATGCAGTTTACTAGCGAAAATTACTTGATTTGGGTAATTATGGCAAATCCTCGAGTTCGCTATAAAGGAAGGGATACCTTCGTGGAGGACTTTCTAAGAACAACTGGCTCGTATATACGTTACACATAATGAAAATCACGAAAGCGCCCATGCAGTTCGTTGGATTCGAACCTCGGACCGAACTACCAGTATTCATGGTCTTTACCGCTCGGCCGATGGTGGGCCATTGCTTAATTTGGTTTATTTGATTACAGCAAAGCCTCAAAGGCTATCTGCCTAAGGGGAGGGATACCTTTGTGGATGACTTTCTAAATGAAATTGACTGGTGGGACAACGCTGAACAAGGATGAAGGACTTATCAGTTGTTCCCAAAAGTAGGCACAGCTCCCAGTTTAATAACTAGAGAAATAACGTGGTTCTTATCAGGGCATGGGCTTTTTCCCACGTACTTCTCTGCAAGGAAACTAGCAACTTCAAATCAATGTGCATGTGGAGAAAGAGGCAGTCCCGACCATTATATATTCAAATGCCCCCTTACAACTGAACATCATCTAAAAGTCCCGAATTCACAGAGTGTAGTGACTCACTTTATTAGATACGCTATCAAGAACATCCATCTCCGAAAAAAAAAACATAATTATAATGAGCTTCCTGTCCACAAGAGGCACTGAGCTATGCAGCACAACCTAGAATAATATAACAAAGCTATTACTTAAAACATAGTATGCAAGCAAACCTGGAGCTGCCCTCCATAGCAAGTACGTGCGAAAGGCACCAACTGTAAAAACACCAATGTATATTTAAGGGAAAAAGAAAGGCACTGACGTGGTCTGGTGAAATACAAAGCATTGCAAGCAACGCCTGGCAGGATCCCCTGTAAGTCCTGTGGGGTGTAATTTATCTTGATATCTAGTGTGGCTGGATAATACCCACATTGCCAATGGTTAAATAATGGTTTTACCTGTCCACCACATTTCTCCATATCCATATCCATAAATGAAATTGACTTGCTCACGTCCTCCGTTACTACTACTAAATAAAATTGACTCGTATACACGTTCCACACGGGGAAAACAGTGTAACCACCAAGAGAGATCCGTGGCCAAACCATTATTCCACCACCTTTGTAACTGTGTCTTTCAACAATGTGGGATTGGTTGTATCTGATTCGTTGTTCCCTTAAGATCAGCTGACGACCTGAATCATCTCCAATATGAACCTGCACTCGTCTGTTAAGAGAATAGACGAACATTGTTGACTGGTCCAGGAGACGCGCTCTCTTGCCCAACATAAACGGGACCTCTGTGTCCTCGGGTTAAGGGGACACAAACAAGTGGTCGTCTTGCATACAGACACGTATTGTGCAGGCGTCTGTGCACTGTAATAGCTGAGCTTCTTGTTTCTGTTGCCACTAAATGATCTTCATGAGCTGAGGCACAGTAATGTTACTCCTCCTTCAGGCCGAAAGAGCTAATTATCGGTATCCTGCATGTGTTGTAACTATAGGTCTGCCTGGAACAGGTCTTTCAGACACAGAATCCATGGATTCAAACTGATTCCATAGTCGGTGGACCACACTACGAGAGATATTAAGACGTCTATCAGCATCAGCTTGTGACATTCCCGTTTCCATCCATCCGATCGCCCGCCACCTCAACGAATCAGGCAAACGACTTCTCCTGGACATTGATAGACTCTCTTGGATATTGCCCACGACAGTAATAACAACTGAAGATCAACACCCATGAACAAAAATTACAATCTTTGCATTTTTAGTCCAACTCCTATATAAGTATCCATTTCTATAAAATAAAAGTGGTAGTTATTGTTTTTGCATATATTTTCTTAAATGTCGTTACCCTCATATATATGAACTGTGAATTTACTGACATTTTTGTAATGGTGAGCTTTGAAAAACATGCCGTTTCTTAACTTTTGGAGGGCAGTGTATATTCGCTTTGGAGAAGGATATTTTTGTTAATTTGATACGGCAGGAACAAACGAGGGATGCCATAGTGCAGGAATGTGTATAGGAAACCGCCTAGTATTTAGACACTTTGGTTTGGCTTTGAAGAAATGATTGAATCAGGCTATAAGGTATTTCTCCTGCCTTCTTAGCGAGCCTTCGTGGTGTAGGGGGTCTGCACGTTCAATGCCGTAATGGTTCCGGTCCGCGGTTCGGTTCCCGGCGAAGGCGTTGCTAATTTTTCAACTTGCTTGCTTACAAAAAAATACCTAATGTCTCTATAGTGGCGCCCGAACTAAAAGGCTGTTGGATGATGATTCTCCTCACCCAGGATTTGGTGACTGGGTTCCCTAAAAAACCCCAGTCGCCCTTTAAAAGAGGGAGTATATAAGGCGTTTCTCCCGCCTTCTTAGCGAGCCTTCGTGGTGTAGTGGTCTGCACACTCAGCGCGTAATTGAGAGGTCGGTAGTTCGATTCCGGGCGAAGGCGTTGCTAATTTGCTAATGTTTCATCTTGCTTGCTGAAAAAAAAAAAAAAAAAAAACTGATGTCTCTACTTTAGACACTACTACTAAGTTACTACTACTAAGCCTAGTTCTACTTTAATACTTTCGCAGACTTACTTAATTACAAATTATCCTATAAATAACATCTACAAATACCAATATTCTCACTTTTTTAACATTTTACGAAATACTAAAAAATTTAAAATTTCCTGTGAAGGTAGGCAAGAATTGTTTTTTTCATTTTCCGTCTTTTCTCTGCATGTTACGTGTACAATTGTGCCCACCAGTAGCCGAGTGGTTAAGTCAACTGGGGTAGACTGGACAAAAAAATTAGAAAAATCATCCTTGTTAAACGTTTTCATTCAAAGCAACTGAGTGAAATAATATTGAACTATCTAAGCATTTGTATTAATGAAAATCCAGCTGAAGAAACAGTTTTTAAACGTAAATTAAGGTTGGGATATCTCTGAGGAAGATTCTCTTTCTGACCATAAAATGATTATCTTTGAACTTGTTTTATGCCGTCCGATTATATCTTCTAATTTGTGTACTTTTAATTTAAAAAGAGCGAACTGGTTTTTATTTACTGAACTTTGTAAGAGAGAATTGTGTAACTTGAATATCCTTCTTAACAGTTTCTCTGATTGTATTGCATTAGAAAATGTTGTAAACAGACTTTCTACCGTTGTTTTTAATTGTGCTTTACTTTCAATTCCGATGAAGAAAAGTAAGAAGAATGGGGTCCCTTGGTGGTCTAAGGAAATTGATTGTTATAGAAAGCATGTAAGCATGTAAATGCTGCTAGGCGTAGATTCCAGAGAGAAAGAAACTGTCTTCTTAAAAATATTTATAAAATTAAATATTTCGAATCGCGGCATAAGTACAAGACTAAATTAGCTAATGCTAAGCTTGAGTCGTGGATAAATTTTCTCTCAACTATTACTGTTCACAATGTCTGGAAATCTATATATAAGTATGGGGTTAAGACCAATTTTGCGAAAAGGATTGAGATTTCGGGAATTAAACTCCCGGATGGCAGTGTTACTTCGAGTTTGAGTGATACAATTGTTGCTATAATGACAAAGAATTTCCCAAGAGATAATGCGCGTGATGATAGAAATTCTCATAGAACTATGCGCACTGAGGTCTGATGGACCTTATATTTCTTTTATGGACTACTGTCCGTTCTCTACTTCAGAAGTTAACAGTGTTATTAAAAATCTCAAAGAAGAACAAATCACCTGGGCTTGACTCTCTTTCTAATGAAATTGTACAGCACTTTCATGCGGTGGATAGCACATTTCTACACAGACTTTTCAACCTTTGTTGTACAATTAGCAGTTTTTCCAGCACAATGGAAGAGAGCTCGGGTTGTTTTGATTCCTAAAATTTTAGATACAAGAACCCCTTATCTTGATAATATTAGATGCATTAGTCTTTTGCCTACTTTGGGAAAATGTCTTGAAACTCTCTTCATTAACAGAATAAATTGGTATTTGAGACAAAAATGCTTTTATAATGATTCTCAGTTCGAATTTACTCCTCGGAAGTCCGCTGAAGACGCCATTATTCGCCTTTGTAATATCTTGCAGTGTGCAAAGAAAATTAAGTATACTACACTTCTTATTTTCCTGGATTTCAAAGGAGCTTTTGATAATGCTTGATGGCCATCTATCTTAAAAATTTTAAAAGATGCTGGTATACCACATAATATCTATAACCTTCTTAAAAGCTTCTTGAACGAGAGGACTGCTGAGCTTCAGCTTGGGAACGAAGCTAAGGTTTATTCTCTAGAAAAAGGCTGTCCTCAAGGCTCTGTATCCGGACCTACTCTTTGGAACATAATCACAAATGATCTTTTAAGTCATCTCGACGGTTGTTTAAAAATTGCGTTTGCAAACGACTTACTATTAATTTTCCAAGGAAGGATTTTGATTAACATTCTTTTGAGAGCACAAGAAGTTCTAGATTTTGTCTCCAGTTGGGCGATTTCTCATAAACTCACTTTCAATCCTTCAAAAAGTAAAGCTATGCTTGTTCCCAGTACGTTTGATGAATAAAATATTGCTTCTTTGATGCTCGATAATTCTCCGTTGGAATTTGTAGAAAATGTTAAATATCTTGGTGTCATTCTTGACCAAAAATTAACATGGAAAAAGCACATTGAATTCCTTTTTGCTAAATGTGAAAAATTATTAATGGCTTTCACCGAATTGCCAAAAATAATTTTGGAGTAAGCTACGATGTTAAGAAACTCATGTATAAGCAGTGTATTGTACCTTGATTTCGTACGGCTGTCGTGCTTGGGGACATGTTCTTGCCAAGAAGGTTAACAAAAGAAATTTAAGAAA